AGGAGTTTCAAGCATATCAGAATTATTCAGACAACTATAATTAGAAACATTTTTCAGTAGAAAGAGCAATTCTGTTTTTAATCATTGTCCAATGGGTTTTTTTGGCTATTTAATTAATCTTTTGATCGCCAATAATACTAGTGATCTACACAGTACTTAAAATAGCATCAGATAACGTACTACAAGATGTAAAAGGTTTGCAAACAGTAAAAAGCGATTGCATCTATTCAAAAACCAGCGCAAAAATATTGAAGGTGTGTTTTCGTGCATTTCAATGAAACGCTTTTTACATTTGTTTAAGGTTTTATCATAAGACAGAGAAAATATACTTCCAATGAATGCGATACAGTCTAATCCAACTATTATTTACCGTAGTGTAATGGCTTTTAATTTTGAAAATAAGTTTACATTCAAAATTGATAATTGCACACCATGATCCCTGAAATCCATGGAATCGAATCCCGGTGAGATTACAACTGAGAACTATTAAAGAGTCTCATAGCTGTACAAAGCAGCTGTCTGATATCCTATCAAGTTTAATGGCTGTCAAACTTTTACGTTCCGTGGATCTTGTCTATGCTAATCTACAAGGTTTTAATGGTAACAGTTTATTCTGATTTTATGCCCCAAACTATAAACTAACTCATCCGGATATGATGAACCCAGCTTTAAAACCATTTATCAATGTTCACATTTCTTGCACATAAACACATAACCAAGCTGAACAAAAATCAGACAGTTCTTATGCATAATCTAAAAATTCCTATGTAATCTAACATGATAACAAATTATTTTGTTGTATATTATTGATAAATTATGATGTTTAAACCAATTTAATATTAAATCTTTCTATAATACAAACTGTATTGTCGGAAGAAAGGAATTACAATTTTTAAAAAAATCAAAATAATTAGTCTGTTATTTAAATTTTGATGGTATAATCATTTGGCGGAACTGATATTATTTATGTAGTGTGCATACTTATCAACGTAGTTGTATATGAAAATTATTAAAGACCAATTAAATAGTAGATTGAATAAGTTTAGAATGGCATTTAAAAGTAAAGTACAGATGAGATATGATACAAGTTCATGCATGTGTATGAACTTGTATGTCCCACATTAAGTATTTTCAAACAAAATTTAGTTCATTTAGTGCGTGAACCCAGTATTAATTTAACTGAAGATCACTCTTCCAGCATTAGCTTTTAGTTTATTTGCTATTAACATCCAACAAATTATTTATGTACTTATTTTACTTATACCGTTACCCCTAATGATTCATAAACCACCGACCAGCATTTTCTAATCTTCACTGTCCTGAGCTTTTCTTTCCAGCCCTATCCGATTGCTGTTCATTCTTGCCACCTTTATCTTTTTAACTTTATTTCACTAGATTCTACTTCTTGAATAATATCTTCGAACCCTAAAATTTCCGATTACTGCTAATACCTTTACTACCTCTACTACTATGGGATTTGAATTGACAATTAAATCTCTATTTTAATGTGGCATGAAAACTTGAACTGATGTAGGTAAGTATAAAGTTCATATTATGTTGTTTCGGAGGATCTTACCTTTTCCCTTGTGTCTGTTGAGACTTACTTCTGTAGAGACTTCTGCCACACTGGTCATCTTCTCCGTTGCATTTGTCGCTGCTAGTGCGGTAGAAGAGACAGATCATCTGCTATGTCTAGGTCGTCCAATTGCATCCTTAGCTGTTCACTGTATTTCGTGGTTCCACTGAAATTCTGACGTCTTCATAACCCAGTCGACTACTAGAACAATGAGCTTGCAAACCGCTAACAGTTTTTGTTCCTTCATCCTGTTCTATATCGTATATTGATATCTTCATACCCAGTGTTGTCCATTCCAACCTTGCCATTTAGGTCTACAATCGAAATGATCAAATGCTTTGCTGGGTATTTTTCGACGATCGAATGCATTCTCTCACAGAACTGATCTTTAACGTCGTTATTGTTATCGTTGGTAGGTGCATAACATTGGATGACGTTCATTGTAATGTCCTCTTTCTTTGTTTTGAAGGATGTTTTAGTGCTCCTGTGTCCATGAGATTCCCATTTTATTGGTGCCTTTTGTGCTTGTTTAGACAGCACCAATGCAACTTCCTGTGTATGTGGAGCATTTTTTTCTTCATGACCAGAGTATAACAGCAGTTCCCCTGAGGCTAGTCTCAGTTGTCCTACTTGTATCCAATGCGTTTCACTGATGCCAAGCACCTGCAGGTTGTATATTTTCATTTCTGAAGCAACTCGAAATAGTCTTCTAGTCTCCCACAATGTACGAACGTTCCATGTACCTAAAAGAATAGTTTCTATGGTTGTTTGAAGGGGCATCAGCCTCGTGACTTCTGAGGGAACTTGGCTTTCATCACGAGACGTCATAACGCTTCTAAATGAAAGTCTCCTAACTCCTAGTGCAGAATTGAGATGCTTTGGGATGTGTAGTTTATTCTGAGGAAGATATATTTAGACAGCTTAAGATAATTAAAGGTTCTCAGTGAAAAATATACTCACATGACTAGCACGCATGCATTAAGGGAATAAAAAAATGCATGAAGATACTTGATATCGCACATGAATTGAACAATTATTAAAGATGAATAATCCCACACGAAATAAATAATATAATATGAAAAGAATTAAATGTTGTCACATTACCACAGACATTGAAATGAAATATAGAATCAAGTTTACGACAAATTTACTTTCTACTTGCATTTCTATTATGATTTTATGATTCTCAGTAGTCACCATTTTCTTCCTACCTTATTAACTGAGCGAGTATATACATATATATATATCAGATTAAATCTGTCGTCTCATTACGCAATCAAAACTATTTTTGTTATAACGATGATTAAATTTTTTCTTAATAAGGCTTAATTTCTTTCTCATATAATTGTCTATCAATAGTGATTGTTTGTTAGAGTTAGAGTTAGAGTTTTACTTTATCCGCTTAACAGTCATACAACTAAATTTGACATTTTAATCCGATATATGAATTTCCAACTGACGAGCAAATCTTTACTTATTTGTAAAGTAGATTAATGCATATTTTGTCCCATCATGCAAAAAAATGAAAGCAGAAATACTTTGCTAAAATACACATTTGAAATCATCAATCAGTCATTGTTAGACCACCATTATAAACCTGGAAGCACTGAAAGACCGCCGTTTCTTCCTGGTATGGTACTCATCGGCAATGTGCATCCACGACTCCTGGACCTCGCAGGATTCGAATCCAGGACCTCCGGCATTGTGCGCGAACGCCTAACCTTCGGGCCCCTGGTCGCGACCTGACCCATTTGTCTTTGGAAGTTACTGCCTACACCCGACAGGGTTGAAATCCTTTAGTCACGTCTTCTCAACTAGAACTCCAAGAACTACTCACGAAGCTATTCACTAGTGAATACTGTTACGATATTTTCGGGCAGAGTTTTGGAGGTTTGTGATTTTACACATTCGGCGTTCGTGCACAATGACGAAGGTCCCGGGTTCGAATCCTGCGAGGTGCAGGAGTCGTGGATGCGCACTGCCACTGATGAGTCCCATACCAGCAAGAAACGGCGGTCTTTCAGTGCTTCCAGGTTTCTAATGGTGGTCTAACAGTGATTGACTGATGACTTCAAATGTGTAAAAACACAAACCTCCAAAAGTCTGCCCAAAAAGTTTGCTAAAATAGTCAACAGTATCTGTTCCATGTATATACAAGTGTAAATGAATTATCCATTAGACGAAATATGTAATTATCATGCTGACTAAACAATCTGATAGGCAGAGAATGACTAATTTATTAATCAATACAATCATCTTGATTGATAAGCTGTTTAGTAAACCGAATAATAAACGATGCAGAATAGTCAGTCAGTCAGTCAATCAGTTGCAACGTAGAACTTCGTACGTCAGTATATCAGTTCATGTTGTCATACCACATTAACACAGAGACGCAATTGTCAATTCAAATCCCATAGTTGTAGAGATAGTAGAAGAATTACAGCTACTGGAGAAGATTAGAATTCGAAGATAATATTCAAGAAGTATAATTCAATGAGATAAATTTAGAAAGACAAAAGAAGAAGTGTTGAGTAATCCAGACGATTAAATAATACTTCAATCTAAATTGTAGAAATAAGCCACCATTATGAAGAATATATAATAGTAACTTATATTCTTATCAAAAGTTTGTATTATTTCATTGAAATATGTATTTATGCGTTGTTTCTTTTTTACAAAGGCCATCATTGTTCATAAGAAAGACAAAAAAAAAAATAATTATTACAAATATGCTTCAAAATACAAAAAAAAAAGAAGTTGGGCAATTTATTGAAGTTCTGTTGCGTCTGATCGTAAAGTCATCAATCGTACTGTTGCTGCTTTTTGTACAGTATTCTTAGTTAATTTAATCTCCCAACATGGTGTTATCACATGAATAAAACTTCGACGAAATTTTGCTCCCATTACACAATAAACAATAAAATTAACACTAGAATTAACTACAACTAGAAAATTACGCAATTCAGATAATGCACACCAACCATATGGTAGAACTTTCGGTGATACAATACCAAAATAAATATTAAATACTAATGCTGGTAATTGACAAGCAATAAATACACCAACTACAACTATAATCATACGTGTTATACTTTTATCCGCTTGTATAGCTAATCGTGTTGGACCATATGGTGGTGTCATTGTGGTTCTTAACGTTTTACACGATTTACAATGATCACTTTGTTGAAATCGAATTGGAAATGATTTATTGATTGATTTATTCGATGTTGTCGACGTTTTTGCATAGATATTTGTATGAACATCAACTAATGCATTGGTACTACCACGTGGTGTATCTAAATATTGTGTTGAATGTGATGTTTTACAAATAGCAAAATCTGATCTACGCAATGCATACATTAAACGTATATTCATTACCAATAATGCAATTAATGGTAATAAAAACATCACTAATATATATCCCCATGTATAATAAACAAGACGAAATATTGAATGCCAATTATATTGTGTTGAATATTGTGAAAAATTACTAGTTTGTTTTAATAATTCAGTTGCATTCATTGGTTGATGTGTGGTCATTTCAAACCATCTTGGTAGATTATAAACAATTGCGCATAGAATACAACAACAAACAACTAATCGAGATTTTGGTATAGATGATAAGACATTTGCATGTAATGGATAACATCCAGCTATGTATCGTTCTACTGTTAAACTCACTGTAATCCATATAGCAGCAGTCTGGGCGGTTAATGCAATAGGATAAATTAAATGGGCTTGAATTAAAGCATAAATACGATGTGCTGTAGTTATATTAGGCATTATTTTACTATGATGAACAGTATCTGTTTGATTGTGTACTTGTTTATTGAATGTATTCAAATAATCATCTGTTGATGAATTATGCATAGTGAGTGCAAACGATGAACTATCCACATCATCATTATCATTATCTTCAGCGAAAGGATATTCAAAAAATAATACTATAGCACAAACCAATAATAATATATCAAATACTGATAAACTAATTAAATATATTGAAACTGGTGATTTCATACGTCGATTTCGTAGAACAATAATCGATAGAATATTACCAATTATGCCCAAAATAACAATAACTGGAGCAATATGTGTATTGAGAAATCGTAGACATAGGCTGAAATAAATAAATGAAATAATATTGACAATATATATATATATATATATTAGCAGAATTACAAAGTATTAAATAGCAAGTGGAAAGAATTTATTACCTATATAAATTAGACTATTTCTTAACATTGTTTCTTGTGCGGTAGTGATATATGAAAGTCAAATCAAAGTTATGATGACATTACTTACTTACTTACGCCTGTTATCCCCAATGGAGCATGGGTCGCCGATCAGTTTTCTCCAACCAACTCTGTCCTGGGCTTCCTTTTCTAGTTCTAGTCAATTTTCGTTCATTTTCTTCTTGTCTTTCTCTATTTCTCGGAGTAATGTATTCCCTGGCCCTCCTCTTTTCCTTTTGCCTTGAGGGTTCCAAGTGAGGACTTGTCTTATGACGCAGTTGGATGCTTATCGCAGTGTGTGTCCTATCCACTTCCGCGATCGACTGCAGTCTTTCGTATAATTGATCTTTAATGTGGTTAGTCGTTGGTAGGTGCATAGCATTGGATGACGCTCATTGTAATGCCCTCTTTCTTTATTTTGAAGGTTGCTTTAATGATCCTGGGTCCATGAGATTTCCATCCTATTAGTGCATTTTGTACTTGTTTGGACAGCATCAGTGCAACTTCTTGTGTTTGTGAAACATTTTCCTCTTCATGACCAGAGTATAACAGGATTTCCACTGAAGCTAGTCTCAGTTGTTCTAGTTGCGTCCAATGTATTTCACTGATTCCAAGCACCTCCAACTTGTGTCTTTTCAATTCTGCAGTCTCCCACATCGTTTGAAAGTTCCATGTATCTAAAAGAATGGTTGCTCTGGTTGTCAGAAGGGACATCGGCCTCGTGACTCCTGAGGGAACTCGGCTTTCATCACGCGACGTTATAATTCTTCTTCCAACTCCCGGAGCAGAGTTAAAATGGTTTAAATTATTTTTTCTGGTTAGCGTATTTTTAGCGAGTTAGTTTATTTCGGTGTGATGGGGTCGCCAACCACATGCCTAAACCCCCTCCTTTATCCGGGGCTTGGGACCAGCAGTAGCCTCGATGGGTCAACAGGCGGAGATAATGACATTAGTTCTTCATTTTTAAATCATTCAACTCGCAACAAACAGATCATCTTTAGTTGTTGTAGTTTCGATTCATTGTCAGATTCATTTTGAGTCACGCAAAAATAATCGACTGTATTTTAATTTTGTGGAATCGTTTTTCATTATTTCAACAAAAAACATATATATAAGGCATATTAAGTTTGGTTTCATGAGTTTTTCCACACGCTTTGATTCCCAGAGGTTTTCTGATAATAGTTTGCTTATTATTTAGTGAAAAACTGGGTATTTTGAGAATATTCGATTGTAGGTCTCTCATAATGATGAGACTTAATGAGAATTTTACAGTTTGGTGGGAAACAATATACATCATTGTCTAGTTGATTGCTGCATATTGGCTGTTAGTTAACTAATAGCCTTATGAATAATTTTTTTAATGCTTTTTGTTATTCACTATTACAGCTATAAATGCTGATAATTAGTTATTCCTTAATATGATTAACGCTGAGCATAGCATGAAAGGCAGTGGATGAATGCCAATTAGTACAAACCAGTGTCTATAGAATTCGACTAACTGACATTAACCAGCTGAGGCGAAATTGATTTCTATAGTATGATTTTTTGCATTTTTATCTTCCCTACAACTATTCAAATAAATTTCTAAGCTTTATAAACTATTAACGTTTTATTTTTGAGGCAGAAAAATTGCTTAATCGCTAATAAATTATTTATTGTTAATCAGAGAATATCATGAACTAATATAATATTTTTAAAAAAACAATTAGATTTAACTAAGATAAAAAGAGGTTGTGAAAAACGAACACACATATAAAGAGTATCAAAGATTTAGTACTTTATAATGTAATGAGGTTTTGAATTCAACAAGTTAAAATGCCTCGTAAAAATGTAATAAATCAAAAATAGCAATTAATGTGTCGTTGTTGTTGTAATTTTACTACTACTACTACTACCGCCACTACTACCAATACTACTACTAATACTACTACTACTACTACCACTACCACTACTAATACTAAGTAATGCTGTTGTTAAGAAACTAGTGCTATGCAAGGATGGCAAGTCAGTAGATAAAGTAGTGAAACTTCATCAGTTGAGGTGGTTGGGACATGTGCTGAGTATGCCTAACCACCGACTGCCTCGTCCAGCTATGTTTTGCGGTATAGGGATAGGTTAGACAAAAGCTAGGGACGGCTAGACCAAAACATGGCGGAAATCCGTGAAATCACTGACAGTTGGACTGAGTCATGTTGGTAGATGTAGGCTACTTGGTCGGAGTCTCCGAGATGATAACAATCGATGGTTTGAGACCCCGAGTGACATGGCTCAAAATCGTTTGCTATGGAGCAGATGCATTTACTCTTTGTGTTCTCTCAAATCCTAACCTTCTGAATTCCTCATCACCTCTGTCTTTCTCTTTCTAAATTTACCTCAGTGAACTATAAAAACACTACTACTACTACTGTTAGTACTACCGCTACTACCAATAATATAATTGTTATTACAGTAAAAATAATGATATTCACGATAATTTTTTATAATTACAATTTCTCAAGGCACTGATGAAAAGTACATAGATAGGGCATTATTTTCAAATAAGAAAAAAAAGCCATAAGAATGAAGTTATAAAACTTTAAGTATTGGAGTACAACACTCAGAAAAAAAAATAAATATAGACTACTCAATGAATTAAATTCTAGATAGTCTTAGTATAACGCACAAATCGGCTCAGATAATAGTGTATTTAAAAAATTATTTACTTGTTTTATATTCAATAGAAATTATTGTATTTTTTTGTCAGAATATCAATGTATGGAATTTTACTTTGTTGAAGACGGCGGAAGTTATAAGAAAATTTGAAATTGATAAACAAAGAGAAAATTTTTCCGAAAGGTATATTTTTACGGTTAGTTAATGTTAGGGACTAGCTATGCTTAAGCTATTACGAGTTCACCTTAGACGAATAATGAGAACAAACAATGAACCACAGTCCAGGTAGGCTACTGTGATCCTTTGACCAAAATTTAATCAGCAATAAGTCTTGATATTGTGTAGAAACTGTATTCTACAAACACCCAGCCAGCACACAATCAATCCAAGCACTCAAATTGCGTTTATTTATACGCCATGGAGACGTCCTTGAGACAGTCACAAAAATAGCACACTCAAATGACACAGTAACCAATCACAGCCAAGGATTTTCCTGGTGGTAAATGTGATCTCAAGGTCAACTGATCGGTCCATGAAATAAATCCAAAATACAGATATTTATCAAACGAGTTCTACGTAGCTGACATCCCCAACATCCCTAAAAATCACTTGGAAAATACCCTAATCGCAAATTTTAAGTTTTCGAGCATGGGCCGATTTTTAGCCTACGTTTCCCACTCGGAAAATCCTTGACTGTCATTTGTTGATGTATTATTTTATTACGTTAATTTTGTAACTCTCCCAAGGACGTTTCTATCATGTATAAATAAACTCGATTTGCGTGCTTGTGAACCTCATATTTTCTGGGTGCTTGTAGAATACCTGTACAATGCTTTATCAAGACTTCTTCTTCTACTTGATGGGGCCTTGGGTGGCTCGAATTAGAATAGCCTATCGTGTCGCTAGATCATTTGTGTTTGCTTTCGTTTACTGGCTAGGGTGAACTCTTAATAATTTCAAGCATATTAAGTGACAAGCATAACAGTTAATTAATGTAAACCAACTGAATAATGTTTGTAATATATTTAGAAATATAACTGATTTATGTAGAAAAGTTAGTATTATGTAATCAATTCGTGAATTTGTTTAGTTCATCATTTTAATATTCTAAGACATTTTGATGAGCATAAATTTCTATAATTTTAAGTAAATTTATGAGTACTAGTAAATATTAGGAAAAGTCATGTAGGGTTTGATATTTAGTTAAAAGAAATTTTTTGAAGTATTTTGTAAACCAGTACTGAAAACAATTTGGGTTGACTGAATTTTATCAAGAAGATACACTTGTAGTTCTCAGGGAATTGATTTTCTCTGTGGAAATCGAACAAAGCTTCACAGTCTGAAACTTAACCACTGAGCTAAATACACTTGCTGTTGGGTTGAGATGTTGATCAATCATTCATTAGTGATTGTTTTTATATTTGTCTAGTTCATTAATGCAGATCTAAATCTATCAATGAAATTGTTGCATGGTCATTAGTTTGAGTTGATTAGACGTCCGTTGGTTGGTAGAAACATTGAAATTTGGTTGATAGAATTCTTTTAAAACTATAAGATAAAATAATTATGATGATTGTCAGTGTCCAATGAACAATGAATTGTGTGATGGATTGATATCAACTTGCAAATGATTGAAAACTGCTTGTTTCAGCTTACATATGAACTTCTCAGTAATGGGTATATAAAAACCTGTACGAAATCATACCGAGAACCCTCTGTGCAATGTTTTGAGTAAAAATCAAATCATCTACGTTTTTAATTTATATTAATTCCTAACGAAACCAGATCCATTGCAAATGATTAAAGATGCTGTAACCTAAATATTGGTTTTCAGGAGAATCAGAGACTGCCCACATGTGAACGTGATCAGTTCGGCTGAATCCCATGGCGCAACCACACCAGTGGTTGAAACTCTGGTGGACCATTCACACCACATATAAACCAATACATATGTAGTGATTATTCCCGATCCATGGTCTCGTCAATCAATATGCACAGCATGAAAAGGCCAATTTGATTCATCCCGCTTACATGACTATTAAACTCATTATTATTAGCAATGGTGATATACAATACAGCACCCCAATAACAATGACCCTTGGGAATGTTGCAAGACAACCACCAGTATAAATGAAATCGGTCACCTTGCTAGCCAAATATCTATATAGACTATTATCAATACTTGCCAAATTAATGCCAAACCATCCACAATGTTCATAATGAACCTCTGATC